GATTAAGTCATGCCAGACTAAGCTCATTTCCTTTCGGATGGGCTTCCAAGAGGAAGCTGCAAAAGTTATTTACCTGGGCTTCAGCAAGGATCTTGACAAATACTTCTGTAATGTTCTTTCAAACAAGGTGGAGAAATGGGAGCTAGCTGACAGTATGGATAGTTGAATGTTTAATTGGTTAAATGATCATATACAAAATGTATGGATTTAACAAATTATTGTGAACCCAGAAATACATGTGCTTTTCAATATTTGGGTAAAGATAAGGATGAGATGTTGACAAAGTTTGGGACAAAGACCAAGATTGGAGGGATATTGTGTATATTGTACAAAAGAAAATAACAATCATCATCGATGTCATCTTCAGGCCTTATATTGGCATGATACTTTTCTAATAACAAAGCACTTTCATATCTATTGTTTCATTTGATTCGTAGCACAGCCCTGCAAATTGAAAATAGTGATTATCTCCATTTCACACATATGAAAACTGAAATTAAAAGATTTAGTAACTTGTCAAGGGGTCAAATAGTTGTGAAGGTGAGCATAAAAAACAACTCTTATTCTAAAGTAGTTGGGACAAATATGAAGTTTTATATTCCAGCTCTAAATTTGACTGCTCAAACTCAGAGTGAAGGCAAGGCTTAGCAGTACTTCTGTAAAAGGCACGGGGGTTTCAGTTAGCTCCAAACTTAGTATGAGTCCATAGGGTTACATAGTTGCTAAGTATGCGCCTGAGATCTTAGGGATGTATTAATAGAAGTATAGTGTCCATCACATTGGAGGTGATAATTTTTCTGTATCCCACATTGGTTAGAGCATCTCTAAGGTATCATGTTTTACTATATTTGAAGAAAATGGGAATGTTGTGTCTCTGCACTTGAAGAAAATGGAGATGTTTTATTTGACTAAGAAAAGACTTAGGGAAGGATTTTGTGTTAGACATTTTCTGTGGGTCATTGGGTAGAAGCTGGAAAAAGGCGGCTGTCAGAACATTCTAAGCATGTCCTCACCATTATAGCTACCTGATAATTGAAGGGGAAGCCCCTCCTCATAGGTACTAAGTCTCCCATCCCAGAAGGATTCAAGAAGAGACTAGCTGCCTAAGGACTAATGTAATTTTAGATGGCATTAATAGTAATGGTGAGTTGAGATCCCAGAAAGTAATCATCTCACTGTATCGCGTGCTGGTCAGATCGTTGCAGACATACAGGACTGCATCTTGCATACATTGTTTCTGGATGGACAATCTGTCATTGGTAAACTGTTCAGAGGCAGTGAACTGGGTGGGTAGAGATTGGAAAACATTTTTCTTGAGGATAAAATTAAAATAACCCAAGGAGGGAAACACTGAGGCAATATTTGAAACAGTTCTCTTTTAATGAAAATGTTTACAGAACACACCCCACATCCAATCTGTCAGCAAATCCTGTTGGCTCTTTCTTCAAATTATACCAATAATCCATCCATTTCTCATTACTTCTTCTGCTACTGTCCTGATGTAACCTACTCTCTCTTGCCTGAATTATTGCAATAGTTCTTAGCAGATCTCTTTGCTTCCCCCCTTGCCGTCAGTCTATTTAGTCTCTCGGAATCCTGGATGGCCCTATTAAAATGGAAGTCCAATCCAATCATGTCACTCCTGTGGCTTCCTATCTCATTCAGAATATAAGTCAAAGTTCTTATCATGACCTACAAGGTCTTACTTGGCCTGACCCCCATTACCTCTCTGACCTCATCTCCTTCTACTCTCCCCCTTGCTCACTCTGCTCCAGCCACACTAGCAATTCCTTAAACCAACTAGTCATTCTTCTATCTCAGGGCTTTTGAACCTGTTGTCCTCTCTGCCCAAGGCCCACTTTCCTCAGATATCTGCACAGCCTATTCCTTCATGTCCTTCAAATCTTCACCTATATATCACCTTCTCAGTGAGGTCTTCCCAGGGACTCTTCTTAAATTGCAACAATCTCCTCCCCCAACACACACACCTCCCTACCTTCCTTCTCTGCTTTATTTTTAAATCATTTATCACCATCTAATATTCTATATAATTTACTTATTGATTATATTGTCTCTTCCCTCACACTAGAAAGGCAGGGATTTGTGTTTGTCTCACTCACTTTTGTATCCCCAGTGCCCAGAACAGTGTCTGGTACATAGAAGGCAACCAATAAGTGTTAGTAGAATAAATAGACATATAAAATATATAAAAGAGCTGCAGCTGTTCTGGTTGAATCTGGCAGAAGTAGGGTAGTTATGAACTCTGCCCTCTCTAAAGCCTAGATTATTGAGAGTTACCATTGAGATGGATTTGCAAACAAACCTTGGCCAAACCTTGAAAGTGCCCCAGAATAAGATTTACGGACTCAGGGAGGATAGCCCACATTTTCCAAACTTTGTATGACAATGATGTGTAAGAAGTAGACTTCATCTGAGTCAGAACTAGAGCCAAGGAGTATGAAAGAATTACACACAGGCAGATATGGGATAAATAGAACAATTTGAAGTGGTGCACTCCCATCCCTGGAGGTGTACAAGAAGAGGCTATGTGCTTACCTATCAGTTCTGCTCTAAAGCGGATCCTGTACTGGGTGGGGAGATTTGACCACATGGCCTCAACAATCTTTGTAACTCTGAGATGCTAGGGCCAAAGGTGTGTGAGCCCAAGGATTAGGGGTAATTTACACTTATTTTTTAGAACTGGGGAGACGATCTTTGCCCTTTGCCCTTTTTTCCTGGAGTTCCAGAGACAATTTCTCCTTTCAAAGGTCCATTCCACCCTAATGGAGATTCCATTTCCCAGAATTTACCTGATGCTGGGCTGATGATTAGAGGCCAGCCAGGGGTAAAGGGACTGATTCCCATGGCAACCAGGTTGAAAAAACATACCTTGTGGGGCATTGTCAGCAACAAGCTATGTTTGCATTATAAATAGATATTTAATTCATTGAGATAGCTCTGACAGGGAGCAGGAAAGTTAAATCCCAAAGCCACTCTTTAAGTATTTTGCCATTAATTGACAACTATTTTTCCCTTCTAAAACATGTAGAACTTGGTTTTCTAAGTGAAAGAACGGTATATGTGAGTGCTTTTAAAAGCCAGCTAACAGTCCAGCGTCACAATATTTCTCACTATTTGTTTCTCACTGAAAGTTTTATCAGAATTTTCCTTGATTGTATGAGTATCTGTACTTGAAGCTTTTTGACACAGGAGACCCCAGGTTCAATGCCTGGATTTCACAAGAGTCTTTTTCTGTCGTGTTTGCTTCATCCTCTTGCTTCTCTAACTCCGAGGCTTCTCTCAATTTCAGTTCTTGGCCCTGTGCTCTTATCTTCCCACTTCTCTTTCCCTTAGTGAACAGATAAAGCAATCAGGCTAACTTCCACAGCCCTAACACTAGCCTTGATAATGCATACTTTGGAATGCCCAGTAATTGGAAAGCAAAATCAGACCTGTTCAAAGGACTTCTATCCTGAAACCGAGGACGGGCCTCCCTCCTGTGTTCAGACTGTACAGCTTGATTGAGGGTTAGGAATGGAGAGTTTGAGGGCAGAGAGTGCTGTTCAATAGAAAGCAGCAATTAGGTTTGGCTAAATTCAAATATAAAAGCACTTTTGAAATGCAATTTTTAGAATCACTATAAGAAATTAGTATAAGCGACTAATATAATCTCATCAAATGGAAATTGGAGTGGGACTTTGTACTTCTACATTCCAAACAGCTTAATACAAATTAGTCTATAGTACTCAGAGTGTTTCATTCTGTAAGGATTAAGGGAAGTGGGATGCATTTTTTTTAATTAAGTCGCTGGGTAAATAAGCTTCCTAATACCAGAAATATAGGAGTTGCTCTCTAAACTTTATTATAACCAGGGATAAATAACTCAGTGTGTGTGGCAGCCTTGTACCTTGCTTTTTTGAACAGTGTTAGCTTAAAATTTAATAGTGTGGAAGGCAAGGAACTTTAGGGTCAGGTTTGAAGAGGTTATAACCTCCTCTAGGATCCATAGTTCAACTCTTCTGAGACCTTGGACAGGTTCAAGGAATTAGGTAAGTCTCCCTCCCCAATCCAGCTTCCCTAATGTGTACTGAATTCTCATCTATGATGATCGAGGATGAAAGGTCAGGGGCTAGAAGGGTACACTGAAGGTCCCTGCTCCAAACCACCCACTTCGCTTGCTTACTCACTCCCTGAGATCCCATCACTAGAGACCCATTCTTTTGGGAAAACAGGGCTTTCTTTAAGGAAGGTCAAAGTATTCAGCTTTAAAGTGTGAATGAATTTACACCCTGTAATTGTTAGGTAAAGGCCACAAAGCACAACTTTGCCAGTTTCAAAATTTTTCAGAGGGATACTGCTAATGCTTTAAATCAGGTATACTGTGGACTTAGACGTAACATGGGGAAAAGCATGTAACTTCAATATTTGTCCTCCTCAGACTCAACTTGGAGAGAACGTTGCTGCTCAGTCATTCATTCGTTCATTCAGTAATGAGATGTAAGTACAACAGGAACTCTGTTCAGTGGCCATGTCTCAAACCAAATTGGGAAGTAGCTATTTTGGAGCCCTCCCTCCTCTTTTCTCCCCTAGTTCCCATCCTTGAGCTCCCCTTCTTTGTACCAATAGCCCTGTGCTCTCTTGTTCTTCCATGGAGATCAGCTCCAATACACCATTCTTGCTAAGTTGTCAGTAGAGAACAGACCAATGGAAGACCACTGACATAGTTTTTGCAGTTAAATAGTGAATACTCTCTTTATTCAGAAGAATACATTTTTAATAGAATTTCATGCACCAGTAAATCAGTACAGTGAGGAGTTATAGGGTAGGGAACCTCTCGTCAGGAAACATCTCACCCTAGGAGAGCCCTCAACTCCCAGAATCCCCTTGACCCAACTCAGGTGATTAGAGGCCAAGGAACAGTAGATGGGGCTATCTCCCAGGGAAACCAGTTGGATTTGTAGGTAAAAGAGGGAAGAGGAAAGTTCTTGTAAATCAGGAGGTTATTCTATTGGGACTGGCAGTTCCTCTGAGGTTCCTTGAGAGACTGATGAGGGAGAGTTGGTGGTAGTGCCTAGTTCTATTTCTTGGTTACACTCTTCAAGGGCTATGGAGTGGTCTCTTCCATCTGTGTCTGAGTCCCTGTGTAGAGAAAAAGACATGACTAAGGGAAGATCCAGAACCATCAATCTGAAAACAGGTTGCACTGTGGGACTCAGATGCTAGGGGAACATTTGGGCCATTGAACCCAGCAGCTCTGGGTTCACAGAAAGAGCCTGAGATATGGCATTTACCTGGTTCGGAGTCGGGGCCACTTCTTCCACTCTATGGCTAGCACCACCCCCAATGCTACAACAACAACCACAATCAAGGTACTTCGCACAATGTTACCCACAGTGCACTCCTGAGCAACAGGCCCTGTGATGATAAAAAAGCAGAAACAAAGGCCATGGAGGTCAGCACATTTATGTTCCCCTTGATTTCTTGTTGCCCCCTTACTGTGGTCTCCACCAGGCTTCATTTGGGAGCCATGTGCTGAGACTGCAGAGGGAGTGGTTAGTGGCAGTGCTTATGCTGAGGCAGAAGCAGCCATCCTTTTCTTGTGGGGAAGGACCCTTGAAAGCACCCTGCTCACTCTTTTTGAGTGAATGTGAGGTCCCATATCCTCATCACCCCTAGGAGAAAGTTGACCAAACTTGAGGGCTCTGACTCCAAAGCGCCGCTCCCCTCTATATATTTGGGCTGTCTCTATGGGGACTGTTTTCTGAGATCCCAAGTGTGTCATGCCAGGTCCATGGAGGGATTATTCTCTCACCTGCTGCCCCCACCAGCTCTAGGGGATCACTAGGCTCTGACCAGATGTCAGGGTTGGCCTGGAGGCGGTAACTGCAGCTGTAGTTTCCAATGCCTTTCCCTTCCACATTATTGATGACAAAGTCTCCATCCTCTGAGAATTGCTGGGGTGCTTCTTCTCTGTCATGTTCCAGGACAAATTCAACACCTGGCAGGGGTCCTCGGCACTGAAGGGTGATATCCTTCCCCAGCTTAAACATGGTACTGGGCCATGCTGACAGAGAAGGTTTGGGCGGCTTATCTGCAACCAATCAGGACACAGAGTTAGAAGTAACTCTGAGCCCAGCCCTTTCCCCCTTTATGGCTAACCACTAAAACCCACAAAATATAGATTCTTACTGATGTTCCCAGAATCTTACCAGTCACCCAGATCTCCAGGGGGTCACTGTGATTGGAAGCTGCAAAGGGAGCAGAGTCCAAATAATAAACACAGCTATAGGTTCCAGAATCTTCACCTCTCACTGCTGGCATCCAGAAGTCAGCCCTGTACCCGCTTGGCCTCTGTTGCTCTAAGGGCTGTTGAGCCCCCTCCTTCACCAGAACAAATGTTGAGTCTGGCAGTTCCCCTTGGCATTGAAGAGTTATGTTTTCTCCAGGAGCCACCATGGGACCAGGCTGGGCTAACAGGCTAGGTTTGGGGAGCAAACCTGGAAGAAATGAACACCTAGTCAGAGAGTAGAGGCCCCTTTCTTGTGTACTATCCTTGAAGTCTCTGTTCCGTAAATAGGAAAGACAATTGTTTTGGCCCCTTTGAGATCTTTGGAAACCATCTCCCATGATCCAGGCTATTCCTTGCTTCCACACTCTCACTCCCACTCCAGATCATCTTCCCCTTACCTGTGACTATGAGTTCCAGAGTGTTGCTAGGCTGTATCTTGATAGGGCTGGTCCAGTCAGGGTGGTAGCAGCAGCTGTAACGCCCAATGCTAGCACCAGATATATTGGTGATGAGGAATGCTCCATCATCACTGGTGGATCCCCATAGCTGCTTTGAAGTGGCTTCTCCTTCCTTGTGCAGAATGTACCCTACTTCATGGACTGGCCCTTGGCACCAGAGAGTAACATTTTGCCCCAAGGGAATCACAGAACTGGGCTCAGCGTATAACCAGGGCTTGGGGAATGTGTCTAGAAAGAGGCCAAAGATGTAAAGTGGTGAGTATGAGAACTTATTACTCCCTGAATTAACCCTTTATCTTTCTCCTCCTGGATACAGCAGTTTCCCTCTGTGACCTAGCCTAGCCTTCCAGGAGGGATCATTCTCCCTAACCCCTACTCCAATTCTTTCTATCCTAGTCCCAGATCTTGTCTGTCCTTACCAGTTACCCAAATCATAATGGGCATGCTGAGATATGATCCCCTGTTTGACATGGTCGTCTCATAGTAGACACAGCTGTAGTTCCCAGAGTCCTCTGCTCCAACAGCATGGAGGAGGAAGTCAGCTGAGTTCCCTGAGGCACTCTGGAACTGTAAGGGATCCTGGGTTCCCTCCTGCAAGAGGGCAAACCTCATACCCTGCAAGGCCCCTTGGCAACGCAGGGTCACATTCTTCCCAGGAAGCACTACAGGACCTGGCTGTGCCAGGAGAGTGGGTTTGGGGTAGAATTCTGAAATTAAAGAGACCACAACATGAATGCCCTCCACCACCCCCTACATTTTGCAAATAACAATACATGTTTATTGTAGAAAATTAGAAAATACAGAGAAAATTAAGAAAACATAATTCTACCACTCAAAGATAATGATTCTTTATATATTTTATACATTTATTTTCCATTTATTTTTTTCTATATATGCCCACGTTGATGCAATGAGAACTATTTACATAATTGGGATCCTACTGCATGTACAGTTGTGTAGTCTGATTTTGTCCACTTAACTTTATATTGTAAATATTTTCCTATGATGTTAAATAGCCTTTGAAAACTATCATTTGTAATGGCTGCATAATATGCAGCTGACATTTCAAGGTCTTCTCCGTTTCTCTGAGGGCCATCCAGCCCACCAATCTCTGACAGCCCAGCTAAAGAAAAAGTAGACATTGAGCCTAAAGCTCAAGGGCAAGCCACAAAAGGATTTCAGAAATAGGGCTACTGGAGCATGGCTCTTGGGATTGGACACCCCCCATCTTCCTCTCTTTTTCCCCCTGTGAATGACTTGCCCTCCCCCCTCTCTTTTGTCTCTTTTTGTAATAATATAAGCAGCTGCCTTGAGTGAACTGCTTACCATGTGCCAGGCACTGTCTTAAGCCCTTTCTGGGCATCTTCTCATTCTAGAAGGAGCACTTCTCCCTCTCCCACTGACAGTTCTTCCACCCACTCTTTCAGGGTCAGCACCACGTATATCTGGATCCCCCCTACCCCTTCTGACCTGTCACCACGAGCTCCACAGGGTCGCTGGGCTCAGACCAGATAGCAAAGTCATAATAGCGGCAGGTGTAATTCCCTCCATCACCAATGCCCACCGAAACGATCAGAAAATGAGCTGCACTGGACCCTGGACTTGCCCAAGACCCATCGCTGGATGCAATTTCACTTCCATCTTTGTAAAGAATAAAGCTCATGTGCCGGTGGGGAGTTGAGCAATTGAAAGTCACTTGGGCACCAAGGGTGACCACTGGGCTGGCCCACGTCTTGAAGAAGGGTTTGGGGTACATTTCTAGAAAGCAAAAACACAACACAAAACAAAATCCATGGGAAAAAAAAGAAAGCAAATATAAATATTGGTTCTAGGAGGCTGCTCTGCTTTCTCTGGTATCTCATTAAAAGTAGGTGAACTAAAAATCAAGGTAACTCCACCTTGCAGATGGACTTCTCACACAGGAGCTCCTTTCCTCCCCTTTATATCCCCCCAATGATTCCTCACTGTCACCAAGGCAGGCAGTGGAGGCTAGCTAAAAGACTGAATTATCATCAGGGTTCCACTGGGTCTCTGAGCCTCAGTTTGCCCATTTGGACAAGAGGGGGAAATGGTACCTGCTCCACCTCCCTTGAAGATTTGTTGCATCGCTAAATGAGACAATCGATGTGAAAATAATTAGAAAAATTAAATCACCCTCCACAAACCCAAGCTATTAATAACAATTATGGCTATTAATATCATGCAGCCAGAGGCCCTGGCACTCCCAGCGCCACGCCTGCCTGGCTCTAAGATTGGACACAGGCTCCTAGGACCAGCAGCAAAGTTTGCTGTTGGGAGAGGAGCGTCTGATCCCAAGCTTTACTGCCCCCTCCTCCCTCACACACCCTTTTCAGCTCTACCTTTTATGACAAGCTCCAGGGGCTCACTGGACTCAGACCACTTGAAGGGGCGCTTTTCAGTGTGAGTGCGGCAGCTATAATTGCCTTCGTTTTTATCCTCCATTCTTTGGATTGTAAAGAAGGCTTCTTTCCCAACGACACTAAGTTGCTGGACAGGTTCCTGCTCTCCGTCCTTATACAGAGCAAACCCCATGCCTGCCAGCCATCCTTTGCACCGGATTTGTAGTTCTTGGCCCCGAATTGGGGGGGAAGCAGAAATGACAGGTTTGGGGAGGATGTCTGGAAAGGAAAATGGGGGGAAAAGGGAGTCAGAAGTTTGGAAGTGTCCAGATGGGACACTCACAATCACTTTGTCAGCAAAAAGAGAAATCCATCCTGGGCCGGCCTGTGGCTCTTCCTGACAGTTTCTTCTTATTCTCTGTCCCCTTCTTAGTCCCCCCATTCAGTCTCCTCCAATCCTACTTGCAGCACAAGTGTTCCCCGGGGCTCTGTGCATTTCCCCACCCCCAGGGAACAGTGTTGGAGTCCCAGAGTAACGCGGCTCTCTCCCGGAGGACCCTGTGCCTTTTCTTACCTGTCCCCACCAGCTCAAGTGCCTCACTGGGCTCCGACACAGCCATCTCTTCCCAGGAATGGCAGTGGTAACTCCCAACGTGATTCTGGGTCAGGGCACCAAGGGGGAAGGCAGCCCGGACCAGCTCTGAGGCTGGGCGAGTTGCGATCCACCCGGTCCCGTCCTTCAGCAACACAAACTCCTTAGTTGAGCTAGAAGGGCTTCTGCACCAGAGGGTTAAGTTCTTCCACGGGGCCAGAGGAAAGTTGGTCTCTGCCCACAGCTCAGGCTTAGGGGTTGGCATGATTATTTCTAAAAACAGCAGAGTTAATGAAGCCACCCCCCCTCCTCCCTCCCGCTCCCCCTTTCCATGAAGCTGTCTCTCTTGTCCTTGAACCCCCTACCCAAATCACACTGCCTACCTCCTCTTTCACCCCCAATCCAAACAAACCCTTCCCTTCCTTCTGCAGGTGCTGGGGAAAGGGGAAGCTGATGTCTCAGCTAAGCCTCAGAAAAGTGCAGAAGCTTGTGAGAAATTTTGCAGGCAGTAAAGCAAGAGTTGGAAGCTGAATTTTGCCAGCAGCTTTAGCAAGTGCCCCTTCCTGGCTGTCCTTCCCTCCCAACCAGTCACTCCCTGGCCACTGACACTGACACTCTGTAGTTATTTCGGATCTCCAGGGAGGAATGTCTCAGTCTGGAGCAGGAAAAACTCACCAGTCTGTTCTGTCAATACCCCACTGCACAGTCCTGCAAAAGAAATTGCTGCCAGGGCTCTGCCCCCTCCCCCACGGGACTTCACCCCGGCCTTCTGCCCAGGCCCCTTCCCCACCCCCTTGTACTCACCACAGCAGAGAAGGGCCGTGACTATGAAGAGCATGGTGACCCCTTGAGCTGTTCCCAGCAACCAGGCTTCTCTAGCAAGACCAGAAAAGAGATGAGAGGAGTTGCTGGGATTAGGGGGAGGGCGGAGAGAAGGGGGCGGCAATTTATGTCATTGGCTTACTCACCACCCAATAGGGATTGGATGTGGCCAAAATAATGGGGTATAATCTTTTCTGACATCGATGACTTTTCCTTTTGAGGGCCTCACCACCTACAACCCTCTTGCTCTTTCAGGATTCACGTGCCCCCGCCTCCTCCCCCCTTCCCAGCCTATATCATATGTCAGCTCCCCATGCCCCCTGATTAGGATGTTGCTGAAATTGAGATGTCAGATGTGAAAATGCTTTTGTGTCTCCAGCTCTCAGAACCCCTGGAGCTCAGAGTGATCGGCAGCTCAGGGTGGAGGGTGTGGGAGTGGAGGGAGAATTTCTCCGTCATCAAATTGAAGTTTGGAAGCAGTTGTTATTGTGGCAGTATAGGTCCTCAGACCAACCTGCTTCATTTGCCTTTGTTATGGAAGGGTTGCCTAGGCAGCCGCTGTGAATTACTAGAGGGTTGTCAGTGCTGAGCTAAGCTTGTCAGAGAGTGGGATGCCCCTCCCCCCACCCAGATTATGACTAGAAATGTGTAGTGGCTTTGGGTTATGGGTCCTGTAATATTAAATGATATTAAGCCAAAATCCATTTCACAATTTTTACTTAGAAAACACTGACCCTCCTTCCTGGTCACTAAACATGCTTTTCAAGCTGCTTTCTCTGAAGTCTGATTTCTGATCTCATTCTTTGATGCAGTGGTCCTGGGCTGGGGTGGAACACATGAAGCTACATTTTTTTTCTAACCCCTGGCTTCGAGGTTACCCCAATGTGTTGGGGGAATCGGGGCAGATTCTAGGAAGAACTAGAACCTGACCCCCACTGATACTTTTTGAAAACTCAAGGGGTGGTGGTTTCTGCAGAAGGCTTAGGTAGCTCCTCTTCCATGACCCAAGCACTTTGTTCCTCAGTGGAAAACACAGACGTACATAATCATAGTCATCATCCATTGTGTATTGAGTACTCTCAGACACACAAAGGCCTATGGGTGGGGGGTATGGCCAAGGGCAGAAGGTGGGGGGCAGTGGGCAAGGCATTCAGGAGCTGAGGCCCCCACCAGGCTAGGAGCTGTCATTTCTTTTCTCATTGCCAAGCACAGTAGTCTGAGCAGAAGCCACGGGGATTAGGGAGAGAGGGGCATGGCCCAAAGGACACCCAAGGATCAAAGGAAATGAATGGCAGGACAATCTGTTTGGCTCGCCATGTTCTGCGTCAGAGGAAACAGTCTGATTCTCTGGCCCGATTCATTGCCTGATTACATGCCTACCCACGTTAAGATCATATTCCCAGAATGCTCTGCACAGGTGGTTGGAGGCTAGAGAGAGGCAACTAGGATGGACCACAAGACTCTCTAGCCTTTGTGAACTAGGGGTTAAGGTGAAAAATTGGGCTAGGTATTGGATAACAACCTGAGACTCAGGACAACAAGACTTCTTACAAAAGAAAAAGTTCAAACCAAGGTAATGGAGGAGACAGCAATCTTCTGTGAGGGGCAGGGTGGTTTGGAGGAGATTTGAGCACTCTCCTCAGGGGATCAGTGAATAAGATTCTGATTACTTCTCCAGCCTCTGAGAATTACTCATTTCTCCACCCTCTGGCTCAGGTGCTGACCCCTCTGTGAGGTGAAAGAGAAATAGCTGGGGTGAGAAAGCCTTGTCCCCTAATCCCAGAAGGTGGGGGGTATACAGTGTGCCCCTGTGGCTTGTCTCCACTGGAGCATGGCCCATTCCTGAGAGTCTGTGGAGCCTGAACTCAGCTAGGTTGAGGAAAAAGGAGCTGGGACAAGACAGTTACCTGATTCTGAGTCTCCGGCATTTCCGCCTTATCCACAGCACTACCAACAGCAAGGCAACAAGCTGCATGATTAGAGATAACCTGATTGCTTCATTCAGAACGTAATTCCAGGTGAGAGAGCCTGTGGCCAGAGAAGACCAGAAGCAGGGGCCTTGATGGGAACAGGGGCAAGCGAATACATTCATGGGTGTGTGTGTGTGGTGCGGGGAGGTGGGGAAGTTGATTACTGAGAGTACTTATATTGGGTAGGTGAGGCAGAAGTGGTCTTTCTTTTCTTAGGGTATGGGAGCCTTCAAAGCACCCTGCTCACTGCCTTTGAGTGATTGTGAGACCCCACTTCACCACCCAGGGGTAGGGTGCCTAAACCCAAGGGCTCTGACTTGCAAGTCCCTGACTCCTCTTTCTATATCTCCCTGGAAATTGCTCAGGGATCCCAGGGGTATCATGGCCAAAGCCATGGAAGGGGTCCTTATAAAGAGTTGTCTTCTCACCTGCTGGTCCCATTAGCTTCAGAGGCTCACTGCGATGTGACCAGATGTCAGGGTGTGCCTCTAAGCGACAGCTGCAACTGTAGGTTCCTGTGCCTTTTCCTTCGACATTACTGATGATGAAGTCTCCATCCACTGAGAATTTTTGGGATGTTGCTCCATCTTCCCGTTCCAGGGAAAATTCAAGTACTGGACGAGGTACTCGGCACTGAAGAGTAATGGTTTTTCCCAGCTTGAACATGGTGCTGGGCCAAGCTGACAGAGAGGGTTTGGGAGGCTTATCTGGAACCAATCCAGAGACCAGAGTTAGAAGAAGTGACCTTGAACCCAGTACCCGCCCCCCCATCCAATATTTCTCAGCTCCCTATTTGGCCTTCTCTTCCTTGTCATTTCCACTAAATTTGTGGCTTCCAAATTTGACTATGCATCAGAATCCCTTTGCCCACTCCTTGGTCCTCTAAGGACTTCTGAGTCCATGCCTTCAATCAGGAAGACTTCATACCTGTAAGCTTCCCCTGGCCCTGAAGAAAAATACCTTTTCCAGGGTTCACAATGGGGCTGGGCCATGTTTAGAGGTAGGGCTTGAGGAACAGTCCTGGGAGAGAAGGTTCCTCAATTTTGTGGAGAAAGTCCTTCACCACACTCCTAGTGTGTTTTTCCTGGGATCATATCTCTGAGAGGGGACAAGGCCACTAGTTCCTTCTTAACCAGTTAACTAGTTGCCATCAAGTCGATTCTGACTCATGGTGACCCTATGGGTAATTACGATAAAAACAAACAGCAGTTGTTAGCACTTGTCTACAACTACAAGCTCCACACTGTTGTATGCTGCCATTCTAATGGAGCTCTTCCAGGTGAGGAGATAGTGGCAGCTATAGATGCCAGCATCACTGTAGGTCACATTGTTGAGGAAGAATGAATTGTCACCATCAATGTTGGTAGTATCACAAGAGATGAAGTGGTTTATCTTCTCCTTTCTTATAGAGTGCTAGCACCACTCCATTCACTGGCCCTTGACACCACAGGCTCATGTTCTGACCCATTTGAACCACAGGACTGGGCTGAGCAAGTAGCCAGGTCTTGGGGAAAGTGTCTATGACAAGACCCAAAATAGAAAGGGCTAATGGTCTGATTTCCCCCTCCCACTACTTAGGGTTTTTTTTTTTTTTCCCTTCTCTTCTAATTGCCTTTCACCAGTCCCCTTTTGGAAAATTCCCACCTAAGCCCGGTTGGACAGTCTGTACCCTTCCCCACTATTAGTCCTGCCTGCATGATTAGGTTTTCCAGGGGACCAGAAGGAGTTTTATATCCTTAGCCCTTAACATATGTCCCATGGTATCCCCCTTTCTTACCAGTTACCCAGATTTTCAGGATATCACTAAGGAGTGAACCCCTATATGACCCATCATAGTAAAAACAGAGGTAATGTCCAGCATTGTTGATTTTCAGAGCCCGGAAGAAGAAATATGCCTCATTTTTTATTGGCCTCTTGTGGTAAAAGGACTTCTCCAAGTCTTCAAGCCTCATCAAAGCAAAAGTCATTCCATAGATTGGCCCTTGGCACCTGAGATTCAGGCTTTCTCCAGGTGCTAGGATGAGCCCGGGATAGGCTGTCAGAGTTGGTTTGGGGTAGAGTCCTAAAAAGGTAAGAGACCCTGAAGTTAGAGATGGGATGATTCTTCCCTATTACCTTTCATTTTTATTTTCCTCGTATCTTTGGACAGGTAAGTTTTACCCTATCCTCCCTTTCCCATCCTTTGATCCCCACTTTCCCCAGGAAGTAATCAAAAATTGGTCCCACTTATGCCCCTGCCCTCTCACCAGACTCTATCGGTTCCACTGAGCTATAACCATATGTAGAGGTGTGTCTCAGAGGAATATCTACAGTTGTAATTCCCTGAATCTTCAGGTCCCCAGAATGCCAAATGTCCTCTCAACCACCTGAGAAACCAAACCTCTGAAAATGATTTTGGGTCCATCTTTTGTAGAGCATGAATATTACTGCAGTATTAAGCATGACTTTTGAGTGCATTAAGTCCATGTAAGACCCTACTTTCAACATGGGATTAGAGGAAGCCAATAAAGAGGGTTTGGCCAGTAAGTCTGCAACCCAAAGTAATCTCTGTTAATGGGGCCACTCCCTGATTTCCATGATTGTTCTTCCAAGGAGACTGTACTATGAAACAGAGGACAAATCTCACACCCATACCACCCCTTCTTACCCTACCCTAAGTCCAGGTAGACCTACTCATCCATTATGGAAGATCAGCTCCATCATATGCTCACTGAGCATTTAGGATATGTCAGGTATTATGTAACGTAGGATTACACAGGTGAAGAAGACAGAGTCCCTGCCAGCCAAAAGCTCATGGCCTAGTGGTGGATACTGATGAACAGGTAACTACAGAAGTATGTGTTAGTGGAATCTATGCTGGAAGGACAGGCGCACAACAGACACCCATATACACAGTTCAAACAGTCCTTTGTTTTTGGTCCTCAATAAAAGGCTATACTAATAGAATTAATATCTATCATTTATTAAGAATTTATATACCAGACACTGTACATATATTTAGGGAATTCCTCACAACAACCCTGTGAGGTAGGCATTATTATTATATCCATTTTACAGATCAGGAAACTGAGGAATAGAGAGGCATGGAGTAGTTTGGATAGATAATATAACCCCATTTTAGAGTTGAGAAAACCAAAATACAGAGAGGTGCAGTGGCTTGCTCAAGATTACACAGGGAGGCACCGTCAGAGGTAGAACTAGAAACCAGGATGAGTGCCTTAAAGTCCAGGGTACTTTCTATAGCACCGCAGCTGCCCCAAGGCTATCAAGCCTGGTAGAGGGACTAAAGCAAATGTGGCCAATTCCACCTAGAAGCATCCAGGCTATGGGGTGAAGGAGATGGGACTGGAGTGTGTGTCTGGCATTTGGGACATTTTGAGAAGTCTTCTGCTGTGTTTAAAGATTGGTACTGCCTTAATGGATCTATAGATACAGGACTAAAGTAATTGATAAAGCATTTCTAAAATATGAACTATCACTTTCCTTGTCCTTGTTTTTTATTTTTATCACAAGCGCTAATAATTGGTTCCATTTTCCACACTTAAAAATAATAATCATAAATAAAATAAAAATACATTAAAATCAAAAAGTTTATAAGAATGTAGTGGCAGTGCCTGGAACATACTGGTGCTAATAAACATTAGTTGAATGAATGAATGCATGCATGATATTCAACAAATAGAGAACAAAAAAGCTGTGATGAGCTAAAACTGCTGGACATTTGTCTGGGCTCGTCCACTACCCAAGTGATTGGATCCCACACACCTAATTTGCATCTCAGTAAAAGTTAAATGACTCTAGCTCATGGACCTTGCAGGGCCTGGGAACTGGCTGAGGAAAATAAAATCAGAAACCCTGGCTCATCCAGCCATGATCCCTGGAACAATGATTGTCAGACCCCAGCAGCCATAGCCACACCCACCTGCTATAACCAGCTTCAGGGGGTTGCTGGGCTCTGACCACAGGGTGGGGAGCATCTGGATATGAGTGCGGCAGATATAAACCCCTTCATTCTCAGGTGTCATGTTGTCAATGGAGAATATGGCCACTGCCCCAGTTGGGACTTGGCAATCCACAGGCTCAGCATATCCCTCTTTAAACAGCATGAATACCAAATCCTGCAGCCATCCATGGCAGAGTACGTTAACATTACATCCAGGAAGAGTGGAGCTCTCAGCCAGGATCCAGAAGATAGGCTTGGGTAGTTGGCCTGGAAGGAAAGAATGAACTGGACTTCAGGTAAAGCAAGGGTAGTGCTGCCAAGGGAGAAGTAGATGAGAGCTCTACTTTAAATAAGGCATCCCTCTATGATCCTTACTTGTCAACAACCCTCCTTATTCAATCTCTGGGCCTCCCCTTTATTGAGAGGTTTCCCTCTAAATCTGTTCCAGAGTCTGCATCTCCACCATTCATTGCCTAATACAGAGTAGGTACTTATTTAATAACTGTGGAATGCATGCATCCATGTACTTGAGGTAAACCAATGAATGAATTAAACAAACCCTGCCCTGGGACGACACGTTTGAGTCCCAGGAGCTGGAGTTTATTCTTGAGTATCTATTTCTTCTTACCTGGTGCCTCCAACTCTAGAATTTTACTGGGCTCTGACCAGCCCATCTCCTGCCAGTAGCAGCACCTGTAAAGACCTGTATTGGACTCATTCAGGGCACCTATAAGGAATGAAACTTGGAAGGTCTTGTAGGTAGGCCGGACCCAGGTCATCTGTGTCTTATCCTTCAGCAGCAGGAACTGGCTAGATATCCGAGAAGGGCTTCTGCACCAGAGTGTGATGTTCTCCCAAGGGGCCTGGGGGTAGTTGGTCTCTATCCACAGCTCCGGTTGAGATTCCATCGCTGTCATTTCCAAAGACCACAAAGATATGAGTAGTCCAACCCTCTCCCTCCCATAAGGTGCTTTCCCTATGTTCCTTGAAATTAACCCCAACTCAGATCCCTCTTTTTAGGTTGCCTATGGGTTTTTGGGTTTTGGGTATAGGAGCATCTACTCGTCTGGGGAATGGGATAAGGATCCCAGGATGTTTGTTCAAGGAATCCAGGTGGGTTGGGAGAATAAAGGGCAAATCTGGGTTCCTTTCCATCTGAGATAAAGCTCTTCACTATTCCATGGGAAATCAAGTCATGAATAAGGGACTCTGATTCCCAACCAGCTCAATCTGGGAATCATCTTTGCGATCTCAAGGCAGTAATATCCAGGGCCATGGAGGCAAGCTGATGCCTTGCAGCCTGCAGGAAGGAAGGTACTTGAGGTAGCAGGACTCACTTACCCATCTGTGTCATACCCAGACTCAGCCCTGTGAAGAGAGATTATAGTAAAGGAGAGTCCCCTCCCTGCCCCCACTCTATCCTCAAACCCCAAAGCCCTTTTCTCCCTCCCCAAGCTTCCTACTCCCCTACACCTATGACAGGGTTACTTGTACCTCATTTGCCCCTCACCCCCTTCCTTGTACTCACGAATGCAGAAGAGCAAGAGAGCGAATGTCTGCAGCATGGTTGTCCCTGCCCCTGCACTGTCCAGGGTCGTGGGGCCTCTGGTGCTTACTGTAGGCTTTGAGTCTTGAGGAGCTGTGCCCCTCGGCAGGTGATAGAATATAAAAACAGAGTTGTTTTTACTCGGAGGACTTGTCTTACTCCTTAAAATTTAGTTTCAATCACTAAACTGCACTTGACTCCCTCACAGGCACAGAAAGTGTTACAAAGTTACCTACTATTTCCTCTCCTTGTCCTTTCTTTCTACTTCCCCATCCTCCCACCCAAGTTCTTTGCAGATATCTAAGATGTCATATTTATTCAAATGCTTGTTTGTCCCTGGGATCTCAGAGGCCTAGAGGCCTACCTAATCCAGGCCTGCAGAAGCCCCCATGGGATGGGGGAGATGGAAACTGCTGGAGTCACCTTTTCAGATCTTTTACACACACACACACTCATGCACACACATATATATACTCACTGAGTCTGCCCACAAAACATTCCTACATCCCCATTTTGCTGATGAGAAAATTGAGCCTTAGAGAGAATATATAATTTACTCAAGGTCAAAATTCACATCCAGGTTTAAATCTAATACCCATGCTCTAAAACCACTATTTAAACTTCCAGAGGCAGCCCATGCTCCCTTTCTCACCCTCTTTCACCCCCTCCCATCTCATCCCATCCAGGCCTTCACTTCTATGGAATGCTTCAGATCCAATGTTACTCTCATTCTTATCTCTTACCCCAAAAGCTCAATAACTCCATCTCAGGTAGGTGTAAGTGAATTAAACTACTTGAACTAATTCATATAAGGTGAAAATGATTTACGGACTGCTTTTAAGCTTCCAAGCATTTTTGTTTGTTGCCCATAAGGAAAATGGAATTGGCTGAATCTCAAGGAGTATGGTGAAGATATTTGAGTTCAGGGAGGCCTTCCCATTTCCCAGAAATCACTAGTGACTATAGGCCCGGCATGTACATAAGGTAGGCCCCTGAATTTTTGTGCCCCCAGGGCATCCTTTTGCCAAAGAAAGGTGCACCCCCAATACACAAACTCAGCCTAACTCCTCCACCAGGTCTCTGTTCAGAGCATGAGGTCCTGGCTGTCCCCAGCAATTTAATCCCTACTTCGGGAGAATGGGGTAGAGGTAGCTCCCAGAACAGAGAAAGGGGCTACTTTCACTTCTCCGAACTGATCCTAGGACTCCAGCCTCTAACTTGCTCCAGTGCCAACACCAGCTGGGGTATAGGAGCTAGAAGAGGGGAGGGATTCATTTTCAAAACACCTGGGCTGCAGGAAGAAGCTGGACAGTCAGAGATCCAAGAGGTCACAGCTCCTTTCAGTGTTGCTCACTTTTCATTGAAGGATGGTCAAATTACCCTCTCTGAACTTTATATAAATTGGGGATAACAATTATAGAATTGTTGTTGTTGTGTTGTATTAGAGATGCACAGTGCCAGGCACATCGTGAACAGTTCATAAAAAGGTGGCTGTTTTTTTATTCTTCCCAAAGGGGGTATCAAACTGGTATAGGACCCTAAAGATGCTCTTTTCATCTTGGCTCTTAGAGCCCCTTGGCCCCACTCCCTCAGGCCAGGCCAAGGCTTGGGCTCTACCCTGTTGATTTGTTCCTCTGGGGCCTTGGGCCGGGACTTATTCGGGAAGTAAGGTTCTACTGTCAAGGGAAAGGTTCCACCTGGAATTCCACGCAGGAAATGGCCATCTGCGGTTCTAGCCTTGTCCCTTGGGCCCCCAAATCTAGGGTCTTTGCCTCGAGGATTTGAATGGAGTCAGAGCAGCTGGGCTTCTCAGCATGGCTGACCCCTCCCCAGTCACTAAGGAAACTATTTATATACAGCCACAGTGATGAATTCTATGCCTAGGGAGCACCCCCAAGCTTCAGGACTGAAGAGGGCTATTGGCCACGCCCATCTTGGCCTTTCACCTCCCCCCACGGCCCGCCCCCAATCTCGGCTCTCAAGCGGTTTTACCCTCTCCTTCTACTCCACCTCAAGCACTTTCCCCACCCTTAAGGCAGCGCCGCAGTGCTTTTTGAGGGTGACATACCCGAAATGTCTAATGGCTCGCACCCTGCATAGCTTACAGGGTTCCAGGAATCAAAGGGGTTGGGCTCGGCGGGGTGTTAGGTACATGCACCGCTGAACGTTTGGAGGGAAGACTGAAAAGGAAAAGGGAAGATATCGACGGTGTCCAGAGATTCCCAGCGAGGCAGGGCTGGGATCCTGGGAGGGAAAGAGAAAAGGGGGTGGTGGTGGTGGGGGGGGGGCAGACTAGGAAGCAGTTTAATTTACGGCAATTAATTACAACAAGGAGACTCGGGGTTTTGTTTAGGATCTGGTGGCTGGTATTTAGTCTTCAGCCACTGGACTATGCGCTCATTTGCAGGTACTTACGGTAGCTGAAGACCCGCTCCGCTGTTGGAGATTCTCCAGTGAGCTCCTCCAGATGCAGCAAACTGCCCGGCATGGGAAGAGCTGGCTAAGGACAGCCTCTTGTGCTGTGGCCCCGCCTCCCTCTGTCCCCAGACCGCCTGCGGGCCGGCCCCAACCTCCTCTCCTCCCTCCGCTAGGCCTAGGGAACCCAGCTACACCAACTCTGCCGGCCACCTGCAGTCCTCTGACTACCGGGATTTCTATGCCCCTCCCAGCTGCCCGCCTCTCTCCAGACTGCCTGCAGAGGCCATTGGAGCCAAATTCTGGCCCCAGGCCCCTCGCCTGCTGGTCGCTCAGAGTTTCATTGGGAGAGGTCCAGCTCTTGCCAATGCTGTAGATCCCTTCTCTCCAGCGCCCCAGTGCCTTTCAAGGGATCTCAGATCTTGCTCTGCCCATTTAATGTTCCCTTTATGCTTAAAAATCGTCACCATGGTTTAAATGCCTACTACGTGCTGCTAGGCCCTGAGCATAAATTATTTCTAATCTTCATAGCAACCCAACAAGATAAGGGTTATTTCCCCCAGTTTTACAGATGAGGAAACTGAAGCTCAGAGAGGGTTAAGTAACTTGGACAGCCTTCAAACTCCAGTTTGGGATAAAACCGCAGACTTTAGAGACATACAAACTTGGGTTTTAGTCCAGGTTCCACTATTTAATAGCTGTGTGACCTTAAGCAAGTGAGTTAAACTCTCTGAGTCGCAGTTTCCTCATCTGTAAAAGGAAGAAAACAACAGAACAGGGCTTCAGTGGGATAATGCAAGTAAAACTCACAGCACAGTGCCTGGCACAGTCGGTGCTCAATCAATGATTACCGCTGCTGCTACTACTACTATTAATCTGTAAAGCTTCCCCCAACAGCCTTACAGTAACATGATTTTGATGATGTAGAGAAAACTTTCACAAAATTAGTTGGCCGTGAAAAACTTAAAAAAATGATAATGTATGAATAAGACACTAGCCAAAGCTTTTAAGATATGACATATGATGGGATTAAAGTAGAGCAGCCAGTGGGCTCACACATCAATAGATTTTTCATAAGAAATAGCCAAAATTTTAATGATGTGTATTTTATATACATTTTTATTGTGGTAAATATATAGGTAGCAAAACAGTTACCATCTCAACAATCTTCACATGTACAGCTTAGTGACATTAAATATGTTTGTCGTGTTGTTCAACCATTACAATTAACTGTTCCCAAATAAAAATTTGAAAACCATCACCCTTAATATGTATATTTTTACCATCATAAAAGATTACAGATTATCTAACGAAAAATACTTTAAGAACAAATTATATAAAAATAAAATAACTCTTTTAATGGGCCGATTGAATATCATATCTTCATGCATCAGGTGATCTCTGTTGTGGCTTTCTAGCATCTTCAACTACTATGCACCATTATCAACTACAGATTATTTGTATAATGAATAGAATAGCCATGTTGTTGTTGTTTGGTGCCGTCAAGTTGATCCCGACTCATAGCGACCCTATGTATAATAGAATGAAACACTGCACCGTCCTGGGCCATCCTCAAACAATCCTTGTTATACTTGAGCCCATCGTTGTAGCCACTGAATCAATCCATCTCCCTGAGGGTCTTCCTTTCTTTCGATGACCTTCTATTTTGCCAAGCATGATGTCCTTCTCCAGTGACTGGTCCCTCCTGACCACATGTCCAAAGTGTTTCAGACGTAGCCTCGCCATCCACTCTTCTAAGGAGCATTCTGGCTGTACTTCTTCCAAGACAGATTCGTTTGCTCTTTTGGCAGTCCACGGTATATTCAATACTCTTCGCCAACATCACAATTCAAAGGTGTCAATTCTTCTTGGGTCTTCCTTATTCATTGTCCAGTTTTCACATGCATATGATGCAATTGAAAATACCATGGCTTGGGTCAGGGGCAC